AGAAAGAAAGAAAGAAAGAAAGAAAGAAAGAAAGAAAGAAAGAAAGACGGATCAAGAAGGCAAAGAGGAGGGCAGCTCCAAGAAAGTAAGAACAGATTTCTAGGATCCTGCAGTGTGTTTACGCTCTCAGCCACTCGTTAGCTGCCTGACAACCAGGCTGGCATCACAGAACTATGGTTATAGGGCATTTCTGTTACTAACAGTCATGTACAAGACAGTGGTTTTATAGCATCATCCAGCTTGGGTAAGTACACGCTATGATACACAACCACAGAATTGCCCAAGGATGACTTTCTCAAAAGAGACCCCCATTATCAACTGATACACAGCCATGCTTCTGGCGAAAGGATGACGGATATAAATATGTCATTTCAGAGCAGTACAAATTTGTTTCCGTCCCCTGTAGCTCTTCCAGATGGCATGCTCGGACACCAGCCGTGCTCTCTCGAGGGGAGCTGAACCAGGGATGTAGAGTTGCCCGTTGACTTTTCAAGAGAAGAGTCTCCTTCCCATTGAGACCCTGATGTCTGTGAGTTTGTTTGTTCCTGCAGCTTGAACTGGTAGTAAAGAGATAAAGAGAAGCATAAAGTTCTTCCTAAGTTTACTGCTTGGATTGGACAGTGAAGAACGTGTTAGTTTGTTGACGGAGGAGTGGTTGCGGTGGTCAGGGAGTCTGTTTGAACATACCATGGCAACACCGACAGACCTCTGTTTCAACCACCAATGCTATTCTAAACCAAATAGAAGACACGCCTCAGTAAGATCTCCTGTTTGTATGTTGATGTTGACTACCATGTTTTCAACTATTAGTGAACACAGACTTAATGGAAGAGAATAGAGATAGAGAGCAGAGCTCTTGCCATCAGTCTCACATATCAAATAACTGGCCTTTCTGGGGGCTGGGGATCCACTGATAGAAGAATCCTTGTCTGTCGTGCGCAAATCCCTGATTCTATTCCTAGTCACATGTAAACTGAGCATGATGGCTCACACATGTAATCCCAGTACATGAGAGGTAAAAGCAGGAACATTAGGAATTCAAGTTCATCTCTAGCTACGAAATCAAGTTTGAAGCCAGCCTAGGCTACAGGAGATCCTTTTTGTTAAAAAGAACAAAAAACAAAGTTTCTGAATTGTGAAGTCCTACTATCTCTCATCTTCCTTTAAAAGCTATTGTGTGTCTGTAATCTCAGCTCTCAGGAGGCTGAGGCAGAGGAATTTCAAGTTAGAGGCTAACCCTGCCCATAGGTTAGCCCATAGGAAGACTCTGACTCAAAGTATATGTCATCTATCCTATCTTGAGGATAGACTATAAAGGATAGCATATTTACCGTTTGCTGTTATAATTTCAAACACACGCCTTTAGAATCGAGGCTAAGGTCATCTAACTCAGGTTAACTCCCTAGTCCACAGGACTTGGAGGGGAAATGGAAGTATCCCAGAGAGAGGAGGAATCCAGCCCAGGGCTGACCCACTGAAGGCAGTGTAATATAAGGTGTTACAACTCCAAGGAGTAATTGTCATCAGAATTCAGTTCTGCTTATAAAGGGATCCTTGCCTTTTATAGAACTGACCAATACAACAATAAAGTTGTTGCCTTGTAAATTTCCGGTATTCAGACAGTACCCTCTCACAGGAGCCTTAAGGGGCATTCTTGGTGTCTTTCATCTTGTCTGCTAAATATGCTAGGTTGATTTATTCATAAATTCTCTTGCTTCAAGTATCACTTAAGCCCAAACCCTCTTTCTAGAGATTTCAGTTTCCCCATCACAAGACAACCAGAGCAACCAGTGTGGAGTTCAATCCCAAGTGGTCCTCTTTCTGCATTGTGCTTTCAGAGTCTCCCTCTGGGCCCTCAAGCAAAGGCTGAACTCCCAACTGCCCCTCCATGGCTCTTTGACACCTGCCCCAACTCTCCACCTGCTCAGCCTCTTCTCCTTGCCATCTTCCCAGCCCCCACCAGTTCTCTCAGGCTTCCCTACTCCTTGCATACCACTCTTTCTCTTCTACAGAGGGAGGCTTGTCTTTAAGGCACGACTCCATTAGGGATGGAGGGATGGCTCAGCAGTTAAGAGCACTGGCTGCTCTCTGAGGACCCTGGTTCAGTTCTCAGCACTCACGGGGCTGAATCAGCACAACCGTCAGTAGCTGGTTTCAGAGGACCTGGTGCCCTCTTCTGCTCTCTGCCGGTACTGCACACGCGGTGCACAGGCCAATCACTCATGCATAGGAAACACTTTTTAAATTAAACATGTGTAGCCCCCAGCGCTAATCCCAGCACCTAACATAGACAGGCACACAATATGCAATTTTAAAAAATGAATAAGATGCCTTGCAAAAATTCCTGTCAGACCCCCTGGTTTTATGGCCAGTCACTATTTGCTGGATGAGTTAAGTTTTTGCCTTTGCTCCTAGCTGAACAGTGAAGGTGGGCAACTTCTGAAAGTCACGTGTTCAGACCAAGCTGTCCTTTAAAGGTACCTGAGGGGCTCACATTAAGTTCAATAGCACCCCGCTTGACAAAGAGAAGTGGGACTGTTAGCTGTCGGCTTTAGTGTTTGTTTCTTTGGGGGACTGTTGGGAAACCCTCTTTTCCTGGAGATTTTTTTAAAACACTGTTACGTAAGTAACATACATATGTATACATAACATACATATATATGGGTAGGAGCTGCACACACGGCACAGCGCACATGTGGAGGCCAGAAGACAACTTGTGGGAGTCGGGCTTCTCCTTTCATCACGTGGGTCCTGGGAATGAAACTCAGGACAAGGCGTGGCAGCAGGTGACTCTACCTAATGAACCATCTCATCGGCCCTAATAAAGATTGAGTTTAAATAAATAAGGAGTAGTTTGTTTCACGACCCAGAAGACTGCTAGGTGCTTTAAGATTAAACATAAACCAACACACACACACACACACACACACACACACACACACACACATTGGTTTTTCAAGACAGGGTTTCTCTGTGCAACAGCTCTGGCTGTCCTGGAACTCACTCTGTAGACCTGGCTGGCTGCAAACTCACAGAGATCCACCTGCCTCTGCCTCTCAAGTGCTAGGATTAAAAAGGCTTTAGGGCATAGATTGATATTTCCAAAGAAACTGAGGCAGTGCTATCTGCGGGTAGTATAGCGCTCACATATACTCTGCACAAGCTTCAGCAAGAGATGAATCAACCTCTAATACAGATTTCATCACCCTACCCCGCACACAGTCTAAAACATAGCAATTGGTTTTGTTTTGTATTTTCAGACCATAGTTGACTGTAGGTAACTGAAACTGAGAACCATGAACACATGGATAAAAAGAAGCCAAGGCACAGTACACAGTGAAGTCCGTCTTAAAGGGCAGCTACCAGGTTGTGGGAGCAAGTGTAGCACCGCCTAAATTAAGGTGGAGAGGATGAAAGAGGGGAGGCCACATGAGGGAAATAAAAGGAAAGCTAAATCAGGTATTAACTAAAAAGAAATCATTAATTAGAAGAAAATTGAAATTATGTATTGTGTTTAGGTTTGATATAAACCATTTATTTTCTTTTAAAGTAAATTTCTCCCAGGGGCCTCTAATTGTAAAGAATTATTCACGACGTTTTTTAAAATTTTAATTCTAACTAAGCCAATATGGGTGCAATCAGCAAAATCAGCCTTCCAAAGCAAATACAATTTACAGCTTTTTTTCCCCATAAATGTAGCTAGCATTTTAACTAGAGTTTGCTGCAGTGAATATTCATCTTAAGGTTTAAGTCAAAATTTCTTGGTACTAACAAAACCACTTTGGGGATTACAAGAACCTGCTTAGCAACTGACCCAAATCCAAACTACACATAGCATGATATGGGATGGGTTCAGATGTAAATTCAAAAGCAAGCTGATCTAGATTTAAAAAATCTGAGATTCACAAAGGAATGCTACATATTATTGTAATAATAAGAACTATTATTACTAGTCAATTATTATTTAATAATAATTAAAACCCCAACAGATTGAGGTGCTGAGACCCAGAGAGGCTGGAAAACATTACTTGTCTAATTGTAGCCACATTCAGACCTAGAAGTCAGGCCAATGTCTGTCGTCCCAGCTCACACTTCTCCCTGCTGACCCCTCTGTGCGCTGGGGAAAGCCCAGAGCCCCCTATTTAAGGTATTTTCATCGAATGTGAGGCAAATTCAGCTTGTAGCTGTTGGAGCCAGGGTGGAGTGGGATTAGTGAAAATTGGAGTGTGCTTCTGGGTGTGACAGAATGCTGGTGACACTGTAATTTCTTACAAAAGCCTTGGCAACACCTCCTGGAAGTCGCCCTGGTACCTTTCAGCTGCGCTGACAGCACGCAAAGGACGCAACTTTTACAAATGTCCCCTTTACTATAATAATAGCTCCCGGGTGTAGGTTTAGAAACGTTCGCTCTATTAGGATACTGGATGTCCTGAAAACTGAGAACCTTGCAGAAAGGAAACCTTGCAGGGAGTGGAAAGGGTACAGTAGAAAATAATTCCAAAGCAGGCAGAGAAAATGGGCCAGGGACGCGGAGTAAGGGGGAGAAGGGGGCTGGCAGCCCTTCTGTTGCTAGGGCCTCCGGCGTCCACGGTTACCGAACACAGGCTAGCGCTCTGTGGCCGCCTGAAGTCATCCCGCCCCAGGTGAAGGGTTCTGATAGGCATAGGACTGCCTTCTTTGATCTGAGTGGGAGTCTGAGATGCCTGTTAGGGTATCAAGAGTGGCGACTTTGCGAAGCGACCTCCCGATCGAGGCTGTGGAGGGAAACTAGGCAGTGAGACCATGGGGTCTCCCATCCGGACTCACGTTGTAGTCCTGCACCCAGAAGGAGATTCTATCCTGCAGCGCTCGTAAAGATTCGCTTTTGGCCAGCTTCTTCACGTTGTCCGCCATCGCGCGCTTTTCCGCGCTTCTGACTCTGGGAGATGGAGTGGTAGAAGGGACGAGGGGGTGGCCTGGGTAGGACGGTGGGGTGCTGTGGCCGCAAGGATGTTATTTTCTGCGCAGACTCAGAACGCAGCTGGAGTGTCCATCCTCCCCCTCGGGTCGGACCTGGCAGGGTTCGGGAAGCCGAGGGGGGAGGCGCTCTGAGCCGCAGGCGCCGCGGCTCATCCGCTGGCCGGCCCGCTGTTCAAGCTTCCCCGCCGCCGCCCGCGGGCCAGGCCATAAATACCCCGTCGATTATTAAACAAACCTTGACGTGGCGGCCGGCTGCCATGGACCCGCGGCTAGCGTCGGAGCAACGCCCCGCCCCCCACCCAGCTCACGCCCAGCCTGAGGACTTCGGGTATCTGCCAAGATCGCAGCGAGGGCAACGGGTTGTGCGACCCGCTGGGGGATGTCCAGACGCCTGGGGGCTGCTGCCCGAACCTGTGCTGGGCCTAGACCTGCCAGGAGGATAGGGGACCCGGTTCTAGGTGACAGTGTGTGCCCAGGAAAGCAAGTTAACTCCGTGGAAATTTTTAGTAGACTTCCTTGACCCTTCCTTTACTCTTTCACCTCTCAAGCATTTAATTTTCCGTTTGCCTATGTGAAACTGCGACTAAAATACCGTTTTTACTCCTTACATCTTTGGCTTCGTCTCTGGACCCACTCGGCAGGTCTAAGTCGATAGATTTGTATTCCAAACAATGACATACACAGCTACACGGTGAGATCTTTGCCCTAACTTTCAAGTCTTCCTTGGCATGAACAAGTGCAATCCCTTTGCCAACCTGTACTCTGTGTGGACACTCGGGTCCCTCCGTGTGCCATGACATGCCACTCTTGTCCTACTGATGTGTCTGGATTTTTTTTCTTTTCTTTTCTTTTCTTTTTTTTTCTTTTCTTTTCTTTCTTTCTTTCTTTTTCTTTTTTTTTTTTTTTTTTTTTTTTGCGGTGCGGTTGGTGGTGTAGGGATCTGTTCAAAGAAAACCTAGCTTTGACTCTACTTGCACGAAATTGCTTTTAAAACGGAGTTTCCGCAGTGGTAAGATTTTCCAGTCCGTGAGGTGTTTGTCATGCAAGTGGGAGGACCTGGGTTTGGATCTCCAGTACACACTTTAAAACATGAGGGAGGGCGTCTCTGAGATAGGCAACTCCTGGGACTACTGGCCAATTGGTCTGGCTAAACACTGAACTCTGGGTTCAGGGAGAGACCCTGTCTCAAAAAATAAGATGAAGAGATCCAAACAACATGTCCACCCATAAATATGCGTGTGCGTACACAGAGAGACACACACAGAGGGGGAGAGAGAGAGAGAGAGAGAGAGAGAGAGAGAGAGAGAGAGAGAGGAGAGAGAGAGAGAGAGAGAGAATTTCCTGGTGGTATGCCAAGACACTTTGTCCTAAGTGCCAAAGCACTTCCTTGTCCATTTAGTCGGCATCCCTTACCCGAGTGGTTTTGTTCTTATATCGGGAACTTAATTTTGTCCCTTATGCTTTCTTCCACGTAAACGGAAAACAAAAATTTCCGCTGAAGGAAGAGTCAACTAGTTCAGATGGAAGCTGAATGTAGGTTCCTCCTCTAGGTAGCAAGAAAGTCAAGGTTTCATGTGAAGTGCCAATACAGTACCAGCATGCCAGTATGCAGTCTCTCTGGGCAGGCCAGAATTACTTCCCCTCATGCACAGTTTGCCTAAGGTACAAAAAAAAAAACCTACAAGGATTATAATCTACTGAAATTTTATCACTATAAAACCTAAATAAATATTTAATAAATTTAAAATTAATAAACAATAAATTTAAATACAGAAAAGAAAAATTAGAGAAAAATTGCATTGACCCAAATACCCTAATCCCAACCAAGGTTTCTGTTATACTTGAAAGGATCCCTGTCATCAACTTTTTCAACATCACTAGCTCCATGAAAAGGCAAATACACAATGCTGTGGCCATGGCCATCGAAGGGGAAGGGGGGGGGGTTCAGCACACAGACACTGCAGAGAGGAGCAGGGAATGATCAGCCTTGACAGACAGCCTCCATCCTCTCAGAGGAATGGCCTGGTACAGCAGGAAGATGGTGCCTACGATGGGTGATTTGGAAATGGAGCCTTCTCGCATTTAATAGCATTTACAGATTTTGATGATGGCCCACCCATCCACCTTAAGTATAAACTGAATCAGACTGGTTTCCTGCTCTCTGAGATCTCACAATCTGCAAGAGACAGACAAACAATGGTAGCTCAGTGTGTAAAACACTAATGAGATAACTACACAACTAGGGACACAGTGATTCGTCCTTTCCTGTCTTTGTGGAAGAAAGTGACCTTTAGAACCAGCTCTGTAAGGATGGAGGAGTCTACCAGAGACAGGAAAGTGAATGAAGAGAAATGAAAGCTACCAGGGGAAGAAATGCAGAGTTCACTGTGACTACAGAGTCAGAGACAAGCTGAGCGTGGTCGTGTGTTTGGCTCTGATGAGCCTTTTATAAGAAGAGATTGTTTATTTCATAGGCAGTGGGAAGGCAGGCAGGGCTACAAACAGAATTGTAATCGGATCTCTTCTTATACACCATGTGACAGGTTCTATAGGAGGTGGGGAGGGACTAAGGACAAGCACTTAGGAAGCACAGATGATGGGGATGTGGGCCTCATCTGCAGTATTGTACGGTGAGAGATGAAGCAAATCTATTTCAGAGATACTTGTCATTGTTTCATTCCGTGAAAAAGGCCAGTATTCAGTCATCAGAGCTATTTAGATTTATTGTGTATTTCATTCCTAACATGATCAGGACCTGGAGTAACATGTAATGACATACTGCACCCAGTTTGTAAGAACACACAGATTACTTGGGAAGAGAACAAAGATAAAAGCAAAATACCATAATTAAATATAAAGGGGATGTCATAGTGAACTGGTATAATGTCAGTTAAAACTGCTAGGAGAATTAGAGACATTGCCATTACCAAGCACATAGCATCCTCCAAATATTTCAGGGAAAAAGAGCTTCAAAATAATAGCACTAGACATGGTAGCATTAGACATGGCTCACATTATCCTTCTGGTTGAATGAATAATGAATTGATTCTCTTTTTCAAACAACAATTTGGGGGGGGGGTTAGCAACAGCTCCGATATTAACATCTTTTGGCTGCTCTTGTAGAGGACCTGAGCTCAGCTCTCTGTATCCATTTGGTGGTTCATAATTGCCACTTCAGTCCCAGGGTCTAATACCTTCTTCTGCTCTTCACCGGCACCAGATGTGCAGGGAGTGTATCCACAGGCAAAACAATCAAGCACATAAAATATCAACTCTTAAAAACAGCAACAACAAGACAAATTGGCCGTAAGAATAGGTGGGTGTCCTGTTAGCAATGAGGAATCCAAGGAAAGCAGATCTTCAGATAGCCAAGGGGCATCTGACTTCAGAAAATTGTATTATCAAAGCACCTATGTGAAGATAGGTTATGAAAAGCAAGGCGGGCATCTTAAAACTTGGAACACTGGGCAGCTCTGGAAGACATTTAGTAAGCTTCATTATTGTGTGTGATTGAGACATAGGCCTTCAACACTGCAAACTGAAACCCCACACAAGATTAAAAACAGAGGTCTCATACCACTGACTGTAGCCTCCAAAGGCTCCGAAGAGATATTTGATGGGTTCTTAGGGATACAAAGGAGAATGTCTTTCAGAGAAAAAGGGAAAGACCTCTGAGCACAGTAAAAGGAGAAACACAGGAACCCAGGACCAGTTAAAAGCCCTGTTGTCAAAGTTGATATGTGAGACGAGAGCCGAACTATTACAAAGACACTACTAATTCCCAACCCTGTGAGTTATATTTATGGTCTTCCTGCCTAAAATGCAGGTATGCTATGGAGATGGAGCCAGTTGGTTTCAGCAGTTGGGGAAGAAGGGATGAGCAGGCAAATGACTACACAGGCGCAGCCCTTACCCCAAATTAGACATGAGAAGGAAAAAAGATTAGAAGACATTCCTTAGGTGACAGCGTCTATTTAAAACACTCATCTGAAGTAGGCAGAACAGCGAAAGGACTGGCTACAAAAGCAAAATGACAAAGCTCCTGGAGAAAAGAAGCTGAGTTGAGCTTCTTGGGGAGGGGGGTGGGGCATGATACTTTCTAGAAGCTATTCGTGACCTGAGGAACAGTTCTTGGACGTTGGACGCTGCTCATCTATTGTTTTTCTTTCTACTTAAGGGATTGTTAGAGCAGAGAACAACCAGTGTGCACCTGTTCCCTGCACCTCCGAACGTCTTCCTGGTGTTCACTGTGTGTCAAATAGTTAGGTCCCTAAGGACCTAATATGGTCATCACGTCTCCAGCATTGTACTGGCAGACAACCTGCCTCTAATGTCTCAAAGAAAGAGTGCCAGACTTGACCACAGTCTTCCCGGAGTCTTTCTAGTTTAAATTAACTGCCTAACTTCTGTTCCCTTCGTCTGCACCCAAACTTCGCCCACGAGTACTCTCGCCCTCTCAAGTGGTCACAGCTCGGGATGGTACAGTATTCCACAGTGGGAAGTGTGTGGAAGGGAAAGACGTGTTTTGGACTTTGAGGGCGTCCTTTCCAAGGAATTTGAGGACACCCCAGAGTGCGTACGATCCCTGCCACACCCGTCCAACCCTCCGCCGCTCCCTGTCGCGAGGGACCCGCCTCCGCGGATCTGAGCCTGCCCTGGACTCCTGGCCCACTCTGGATTTCTCTCGGGGGCGTGGCAGGGGCGCGGCAGGGCGTGGCCACCGAGGGTGTGAGCCCCACCCCCGTGCCAGAGCGCAAGCGCGGGCTGCAGCGGGTCAAGATGGCGGCAGCGGCGGCTGCGGCGGCGGCAACTGAGCAGGTCTGTGAGCCTGCTGAGGCCGAGGGCTTCGGGAGCGGGATGGCCTGGTCGTCCCCACGGAGGGCGGGGATGAGGGCCCGAGGGCCGGGCTGGGGCGGCGAGGCGGGGTGGCAGGGCGGGGCGGGGCGGGGCTGGGCGGCGGGAGCTGTCCGCAGCCAAGATGCTGGCCAAAGGCCGGGCGGGAGCCTGGACAGCAGCAGCTCCAGGCCGGTGAGGGCAGCTGTCCCTTGGCGGGAGTGACAGTCTCTGCCCTGCGCAGCCTGCGCCTGGACGTCTCTCTCCGCACCCAGCAACCGTGCGGATAAAAATAACGTCTA